TGCACAGGTGCAAATGGCCCAGTTGGCTAAAATACAGGTGAGGAACCCGGGTGGGCGGGTGAACCCTCCAAAACTCCATTCCGGTATGTTGACCGCTGCCACCGGTAAGCCTGTACCAAGGCACACCCCCCAGAACCCACCACTGGCCCAGACCCTTCTGCAACCATCGCAGATCTTCCCAGGCTCTGCAGGGATGACATTTTTGACCTTTCTTTTTTAGGCTGATGATGATTGGTGAGTTACCTTATCTTTAAAAGACATCTTTTCTCACATTATTCACAGATTTGTAAGCTTTGTTGCTTACTCTTGTTTCATCCTTTCCAAAGCAAATGCTTATCTCCATCAAAACTGCTGTGCATCTTCTCTGTCTCTTAACGAATCCTTTGGCCTTCTTTGCACCAATGTGTTTCTCTGGATACGTATTATACAAAATATTTTTCTCCTTCTCAGTTTTTGCAGCACTCTCCAATACCCCTCCCCCACCTGCAGATTCATTTCGTATGCCATCCTTTTCCCCTGCTTCCCAAAATATAACTCTACTAATTTCTTTGGCATTCTGCGTGTCCTTTCACTTTGTTCCAAGCAGCCTCTACATTCTCTTCCCTAAGTTCACTTCCCACTAATTCTGTTAGGAAACTCATCTGTCTTCTAATGCTTTAAAGAATTACATTGGGAAGAAAAATCTATACCTGATTAGAGCAATAGCTTTTTAATATGTGTAGTAATATATGTGGATTAACTTATTTCACAAGGAAATAGCCTGCTGAGCAATCTATTTGTGTTGGGGGAGAATAGTTCTGTTTATAATATAATTTCAAGGGTTGTTTTTTTTTTTGGAAATAATGTTGATTTTTCATACTAAATGTAGAATTGCAATTCATATTGCAATTATGCACTTTGGGTGAAAGTTTCTGTAAATACCCATGAGGATTGGAACACATTTTCAAGTCGTCTCATTCTTGGGGAGGAACAAGCTAAAATATTCCCTTTCCCCCCAAGCTGCAGTGACTAAGATGTAAATTTAAATGGAAGGAATAAATATGAAAAAAGACATTTGTGAGGAGCAACTTTCTCTTCGAGATTTAGTTATATAAAATAAATGAAAACTAGGAAGCTGATAAGAGAGAAATATATTCTTTTAAATACAGTATATATTGATAAAATAGATCTTAAACTACTTTTAAAAACAGGACAGGAAATAAAAAGATAAATATCCACATTGAGCATGGCAGACCAAGCATTCAATTTTCTCTTGAAAAGTCAAAAACACCTGG